ATGTCTTCAATCCAGTAAGTCCCGGGTCAGATCTCCTCTCTGATTTTATATGAACCTTCCCAATTCGTTCCTAGGGAACTGGTGCTAGGTTCCTTTAAGGAGAGGAAGACTCTCCTAAGGACCAGGTCGTTGATTCGAAATGACCTCTTATTTACCTTTGAGTTGAAGTACTTCGTCATCTTTCTTTGATATACGCTGGGCCTCATCTCTCCTTTCCTCAATGAAGTCGAGGTCACACCTGCGAAGCTCATCGTTTGTTTATCTCACTGAAATGTAGACGTCGTGGGGATGGAAGTTTGACCTCGACGAGGCTCATCGCCTTAGTCCCATATACCATGAGGAAAGGTGTTTCCCCTGTTGGGATCCTCGTAGTGGTTCGAATTGTCCAAAGAACCTGTGGCAGCTCATCCACCCAGGCCCCCTTTTGACACATCAAGCTTCCTTTTCAAGACGTGCTTGATTGTCTCGTTCACTGCCTCAACCTAGCCATTTGCTTGTGGGTGGTGAGGCGTAGAGAAGTGCTTCTTGATGCCAAGTTCTTCACACAGACTTCTGACCTTCTTGTTGTCAAACTGTCTACCATTGTCTGAGACGATCGAGTAGGGAATCTCGAACTGGCATATGATATTCTTCCACAAGACCTTGGAAGTGTTGGCTTCTGTAATTTTTGCTAGGGGTTCAGTTTCAACCTACTTCGTGAAGCAATCAATAGCCACAATTACAAAGCTCGCACCTCCTCTGCCTTTTGGTAGAGGACCTATGAGGTCCACACCCCACTTCGAGAAAGGCCAAGGGCTGGAGACCGTGGTCAAATCTTGCCATGATTTTCTTTGGATAGGAGCGAATCGTTGGCATTTGTCACATTTTCGTACAAGCTCGAGGGCGTCCCTTTTCAAAGTAGGCCAGTAGTACCCTTGCCTCAGTATTTTTTGTGCCAAAGATAGACCTCTAGAGTTGTTGCCGCACACACCCTCATGGACTTCTCTTAATTTGTAGGTAGCCTCTTCTCCTCCGACACATCGTAAGAGTAGAGAGGAGAAGCTCCTCTTAAAGAGTACATCATCAATGAAGAGGAAATGGGCTGACCTCCTCCTTAGCTTGTAGGCCTCATGCTTGTTAGTGGGAAGTACCTGGTCCTTGAGGTATGCCACGATGGGCTGCATCCAGGTAGGAGTCCCAGTGACCCACATCGCATTGGGGGCTTCGGTCGACGGCATGAGGAGGTGCTCTATAGGAACTATTGTGAGTAGTTCGGAATCCTTGCTGCTTGCAAGTTTGGAGAGTGCATCCGCATGTGCATTTTCGATGCGGGGGATCTGGATCAACTCAAACTTTTCAAAGGATGGGATGAGGTTCATCACCATTTTCAAGTAGGAGGCCATTGTTTTGTCCCTGGCTGAGAAGTTACAATTTACCTAGCTGACAACCAGTTGGGAGTCACTACTGATGAGTAGTCTCTTTAATTACATTTCTCTGGCTAACTTGAGGCCTGCACGAAGTGCCTCGTATTCTGCCACATTGTTGGTGGCCTTGAACCCAAACCTCACTGTCGAGTTCAACTTGTGACCTTCCGGGCTGAGGAGGACAACTCCGGCACCTGAGCCGGCGTCCCGAGCCGACCCATCAACGAATAAGTTCCACGTAGGGGGCTCGGCTTGTTCCATGATTTCATCTACCTCGGGTAAGTTGGAAAATTCTGCCTCAAAGTCATCCAAGGCTTGGCCCTTGATGGCTGCCCTAGCCTTGAACATAAGGTCAAATTCACTTAGCTCCACCGCCCATTTCAATAATCTTTCTAAGGCATCGAGCTTTTAGAGTACCTGCCTTATGAGAAAGTTTGTCAGCACATGGATGGTGTGGGCTTGGAAGTAGGGTCTCAACTTTCTGGAGGCCGTGATCAATGCCAAAGCGAGCTTCTCCATATCGGGGTAGCGGGTTTTTGACGATAAGAGTGCTTTACTTGTATAGTAAACGAGGAGTTGGGTGGTCCCCTCTTCTCGGATTAGAACCGCACTAATGGCCTCACTAGAGACGGCTAAATACAGCTGTAGAATTTCACTGGGCTTCGGTTTGGAGAGGAAGGGGGACTACCCTAAGTGCCTTTTCAGGCCCTAGAAGGCCTCTTCACATTCCTCATTCCATTGGAACTTCTTCCTAACTTTTAACACTTTGAAAAATGGGAGGCATTTGTCTGTAGCTTTGGAGACGAAACGGCTAAGCACGACAACTTGACCAGTCAAGCTTTGTACCTTCTTTGGCTTTTGAGGGGACCTCATCTTGCAAAGGGACTCAATTTTCTCAGGGTTGGCCTCGATACCGCGTTGGTTGACCATGTATCCTAAGAATTTGCCGGAGGCCATTCCGAAGGCGCACTTGAGGTGATTGACCTCATCCTATATCTTCTCAAGATTTGGAAAGTGCTATTGAGATGTGTTATGTGGTCTCCAGATTCCAAACTCTTTACCAGCATGTCGTCTACGTAGACCTCCATTGTCTTGTTGATGAGGTCCACAAACATTTTGTTGACGAGCCTTTGATATGTTCCTCCAACCTTTTTCAACTCGAAGGGCATCATCTTGTAGCAGTGAAGGCCTCGGTCTGTGATGAAAGATGTGTGTTCTTCATCGACCAGGTGCATGAGAATTTGGTTATAGCCGGAGTATGCGTCCATGAAACTCAATAACTCGTGCCCAGCCGTAGAGTCTACCGGTTTGTCAATCCTTGGAAGTGGAAAGCTGTCCTTCGGGCAAGCTCTGTTGAGGTTAGTAAAATCGATGCACACCATCCACTTGCCGTTGTGTTTCTTCACTAAAACTGGATTGGAGACCTACCTCGGATAGTTGGCCTCCTTGATGAAGCCATTTTGAATGAGCTTCTGAACTTCTTTCTTCAAGGCCTCGTACCTCTCAGGATTGAGGGCTCTTCTTTTTTGTCTATGCGGGGCAACCTTAGGATCAATTTTCACGTGGTGGCAACTGACCTTGGGGTCTATGCCTACCATGTCCTTATGCCTCCAAGCAAAGATACCGAGGTTCTTAGTTAGGAAATCCTTGAGCTTTTCTTTCAAAGTGTTGGACAAGCCCTTGCTCACCTTCAACAATTTGGATGGGTCTCGGGAGTCCGTCGAGAAGCTTTCAAGTTCCTCAGTTGGGGATGCTTGAAGTTCGTGTTCAATTATGCAGGGATCAACCTCATTGGTGGACCAATACCTCTGGATTGGGTGGCACATCAATCATTTTGACATCTTTCGGCTCGATGGGAGCATCACTGGGACATCAACCATGACTATGTCGGCGATAATCACATGGACGTCCCGGGGCTCTACCTTTTTGATGTAACTTAGATAACACTCTCTTGAACCTCTTTGGTCGTATCTCACCGTTGCCACCCCATTTTCCATCGGGAACTTCATATATAGATGGTGGATGGAGGTGACGGCTCCTAATTCCTTTAGGTCTGGCCTACCCAATACTCCGTGGTAGGCCGATCGACTATTGACAACAAAGAATTCCATGAAGTTCATTGTGGTTTGGGGAGACTCCCCCATCTCTACTGCGAGTGTGATTTTTCCTCTCGGAGTGATGCTATCTCTGGTAAATTCATACAAAGGAGTGGTGGTGGTGGATGTTAACTCATGGTCCAGTATCATCTTGTTAAAGGTGGATCCGAATAGAATGTTGACGGAGCTACCATTGTCAACTAACATTCGTTTGAGCCCATTCCGAGCTATGACTGTTCTTACCACAAGTGCATCGCAGTGAGGGCAGCGAATCCCTTCAATGTCCTCCTGGGTGAAGACAATCGGTGGAACTTGATTCCTTCGAGAATTGTGGCCCACAATATAGCTGGTAAGCGGGGGGCGCTTGGCCTCACGGGCATAATTCCATTTAGCGTTCCGCGTTTCACCAGCTACATATGGGCCTCCAAAAATGGTATCCAGCTCGTGGATAGGGGCCTCATCCTGAGCTTGTCGATTTCTTCAGTGTCTACGCCCTTCCCTGGGCTTCTCTGCATCACGCTCCTTCGTCGCGGAGAAACATCCTTTTGACGAGGAGCAGCCCCTTCACGCCCATGTCGGTTATCGTACCTAGGCGGGGGGCCTGTTCATCTGAGACGATTCATTTCAGTCCCTAGGGGGTTCCTACAGGGAGTGATGAGCATATTCTCGACAATCTGCTGTGTCATGTCCATAGGACCGGTGGTATGTACAGTATCTAGGTGGGTTCTGATTTGACCTATTTCTAGGTCCCGAACCCCACTCTCGGCCTCTCCTCCTACGGGATCCTTTTGGAGTTCCCATCTACTGGGTGTCAGTGACTGGGTTGATATCCTTATATGCTAATGTAGGAACGGCGTTAAGAGTGGTGGTGGCAAGTGCTTGCCCAGAACTCTCATTACCAGCTTGGTTCATTTGGTAGTCCATCAAGTGGGAGGTCGGCCCTCTAGTACGCTGCCTTTGAGGAGGTGGGAGGCCTCTATTTGCCCTGTTCCTATGCTCAATCAATTTTTCATTGATGATCTCCCATCTCATCATCTCGAGTAGGGCATCATAGGTGGTGAGGTCTTGATTTTGCACGTCCCTCCAGAACAGGGTGTTCATGTTCAGACCTCCTCTAAATGTAGATAATGCCTCACAATCGGTGACTTGCACACAATATGCCATCTCATCGGTGAAGCGTGATAGGAAGCTCTTTAGGGACTCCCCATGGGCCTATCTCATGTCTTGGAGAAGTTGGATGGGGGCCTCTCCCTCTTTGCGTACAGCGAACCTCTTCAAGAAGGTCGTCTTGAATTTGGGCCAACTTCTTATGCTCCCAGGTGGTAAACCTACTATACCAAATTTCAGCTGCTCTGCTAAGTGTTAAATAGAAAGCTCTGCATTTCATAGTTGGGGTGGCGTACCTTAGGCTCATGTGAGTTTTGTAAGCATTCAGGTGCTTCTCTGGGTCGCCTCTTCCATCATACTTTGGTATCTTTGGCATAACATAGTGGTTCGGGACCTAAGCGCTCCTTAGTTCTCTTGAGAATGGCATGTTTTCATCGTCATCGTCCAAGTCACAGGACCTCTGCTGCTCATCTGAATCGTTTTCATCGGCCTCATACCTTAGTTGTTGGTGAGAGGTTCTGGAACGGTTCCTAGCCTCTTCCTCCCTCCTTTGGCGCCTATTTCTAGGCAGAGTAGCACGGGGGGCATTTTCATGCCTTTCTTCCAGCTGTTGAGGCATTCGAGATGGAGGTGGAAGCGGTAGCCTTGTCCAAGGCTCATGATGTTGTTGTTGTCTGAGTCTCGGTTCAGCAGGGCTAATTCTGTCAAATACACTGCCAGACCTCCTATTTCTTTGTAGTTGCTCATGCGGAGGTGGAAAGTTATCATGGTTTAAAGAGACCTCGGTAGGTTGGCCAGAAGCGTAGTTGGAGGAAACATCAACTTCTACTTCCCTTTCAAATGGGCTCCTACCTTGGCTATAGTCCGACGAGGTAGCCCTACAGTTTTGAACTTCATCTTCTTGCTGGTAGTGCCCTTGAGGGGCGTATGGAGGATTAGGGAAGTCTCCCTGGCCCTGTATTTGAGCCATAAGTTCCCTAATATCCATGTTTTGGCTAGCAATGTCCCTTATATTAGCTGCCACGACGGCCATTTCTCTTGATAGCTGGACCATCGCACGCATTTCACCTATTATGTGGTTGTGGTGGTGTCTATGTCGAGTTGCTGAGGCAACTGCTGGAGGGGGTACATAAGCATTTTCTCTTACCCTCCTAGGGGGTGTATCTTCATTCGGACTCATCTTCTTTGCGTCTTACCCTTCAAATTTTGCTAAGTCGTGGGGCTTTCTCTTGTTCTTTTTCAAGAACAAATCCTTTTTCAAGGGGGTGCCCAAATGCTCCTCTTTAATAAGCTTTCACCACAAGGTTGTTCGTGGTTATGGTATGGTTTCTCACAGACGACGCCAATCTGTTGACCTCAAAAAATGTTGCCAACAGATGCCTGACCCACCCGTGCACGCATAAGCGAATGTCCAACATGCTTAGACATGTGGACGGTCTAAACAGAAAGATCAAGGACATGAGAGTAGCTCAACGACGCGGGACGAGAACGTTCAAAATTTGACGGGATTGTTTGCGGATCGATTGTACAATAATTACCAATCGGTGTTTGTGAATGTGTATCTAAATATGTATGAACTTGTTTGTGTTGTAAGATAATAAGAAAGAGAGAGTTGAGTAAAGTATGGTTTCTTATATTAATTCTTGTATTAGCCTTTGTATTAATTCTTATATTACATGGGAGAGTATTTAGCCTTATATTAATTCTTGCATTAGCCCACTGGGAGTCAAGTATGGACTCCATAAATTTATGTAAGAGGGTCATAAATTTTAGTTAAACAGTGGGAACATAATTATTTAATAAAAGTCCATGTTAAATTAATTGATGCACTTTATATATTATTCTTGTTCTTTTCGTCATTTACATTTATATTAAATCTGGAGTAACCATATTTTTTGAATGGCATACTGGATGCCAACGACTAAATTTAATTTTTTTTTTATTGGCACTGCAATCTAAGAATTGTTCTCAACCATGAGAAAATTGATTATGTCCTTGAGTAGTCATTTCTAGAGACATCTGTTGATGACTTGGTCAAGAAAGAAGTGGTTGCTATAATAAACGCAATGATGACAATAGTACTGCAACGTATGTGATAGTTGCAATTATATCACCTGAGTTACAAAAGCAACATGAGAGTACAGATGCTAAAATGTTAACACATGATTTTTCATTTCAAAGAGTTGTATGATAATAATCATGTGTGGAAGGATATGAGACTTCCAAACAACTATACCGATGCAAAGTGACAAAAGAATTTCCAGTCAATCATCATGTACTGAAGATGATTGACATGAGAAGTGTCTCAATTGAGTTCAATCATTAACTATGAACTAAGTATTGACTTAGCTCTGCAATCTCTTTCATAAAGTTATTCATGCTAATTATGAATTATGATATGAATAAACTCGAATGCATACTCATTAAGTTGCTTAACACGCTTAGGTAAACCCTTTATCAAAGTTAGTAGTGGACAAACCATTGATTTCTCTAAGAGTGTTAAGAGAAAATCTAAAGGAGCTTTGAGAAAGCATTCAATATGGTTAAGACAGTTTGAGCAAAGGACAATACCAAATCTAATGACTCTTGTCTTCGTTATAAAATGAAAGGTCATTGGAAGAAATATTGCATGGCTTACGTATACTTTATGAGTTTCTTAAGTATTTGATACCAGATATAGATCTCATATTTATACAAATATGGATAAACTAAATAGAAGTAGTCTACTGCAATAGGGAGAAGTTAACCTACACGTTGAACATGAGCAAAGGTTGTCGTATTGCCTGTAGGAGCATACTTCTTATAGTTGCCTTTTGGCTTAGTAATGGAATTGGAGAAATGTTACTTTGTACCTAGCATAGCTGGAACATTAAAATGAATTTGATGTTCAGACATGAACTATTTTAATGTTAAGGATAATTGTTGTTCCTGCTTATCTTGATTAAAATCTTAATAGTTATGGTAAGTTACAAAATAACATTTATATTCTAAATACTAACGATTCTATAATTAGTATAAAAATTATAAGACATAAATGCGATAATCTAATTATTGCCTAGATCTGGCATGGCGGACTTTGTCATATAGATGAAATGCAATTTCAAAGTTACATAGAGATGTATACTTGGGATCAATGCATGTATAGTACAATGACCAAATCTTCTTTTACCTGAAAAGAAGAAAGGTCTGGATAATTACTTGTCTAATGCATACTGATGCATATGGACTCATGTCAATTGATGTTAGGTAATGTTTCTCTTATTTCATCAATGATCATGTATACTTGACGAAATTCAATCATGAAACTCTTGAAAGGTTCAAGGGATTCAAACTGGAAGTAGAGAAACAAATAGGTAGAGATATTCTCGCATCAAGATCCGATCGATATGGAATATCTTAAAGATAAAATTCTAGATTATCTGAGAGAGAATGCGATTCTCTTGCAATGGACTCCTCCATATATACTACAACTGTGGTATATCTGAAAAGATGAATTGTTAACTATTAGATATAGTGCGATTAATAACAAGCCATACAAATCTCCCAAAATCGTTTTGGGGTCATGCATTAATTGCAGTGTGCAACACATTAAATCATATAACTTCTAAATTGGTTAACAGAACTCCATACAAGTTATGGAAAGGCAATAATCTCAATTTATCTTATATGAAAGTTTAGGGCAATGACGCTTATTTGAAGTTCCTTGAATTGGATAAGTTTGACACTAAATTCGAAAAACACATATTTGTGAGATATTCAAAGCCGATATTTGAATATAAATTCTATTATCGTGAAGAAAGTCTTCGTCTCACGATATATCGTCTTCTTAGAGAAAACGTTTACTCTACAGGAGGACAGTGGGAGCCACATAGAACTTGAAAGAGTTCAAGAGTCCACATATATAGTTAATCAAGTAGATAAATCCAAGTTTGATCCCATATCTAATATGGGACATACTCTTCATCAGGAAGTAAAGACTCCTGAGAGCATGTCAGCTCTATGTGAATCTAGTAGGATCATTCGACCTTCAAGAAGGTGCAAATCCATGATTACTAATCAGGTATTACTGATCGAGGATAATGAACCTGCTAGTTGCACCAAAATAAAGTCAAGTGTTGACTTAAAAGAGACAGCAAGAGGTCATGAAACTCGAGATGAACTTGACGTATGTGAACAAAGTTTGGGCCTTGGTCGAGCCTCCTGATGGAATAAAATCTATAAGTTTTTGTAAATAGTTTACAAGGAAAGGGTCGATATGGATGGGAAAATCCATATATACAAAGCAAGGCTAGTAGCAAAGGTTAAGTGTTGACCTTGGTGAGACCTTTCTCCTGCAGCCTAACTGAAGTCCATTAGGGTTTTGTTTGCAACAGTTGCATACCGTGACTATAGGTTAAGAGAAGTCTCTTGGAGCTTAAATCTTCGATTTGATGAAAAAGTCAAAGTTTTTGATTTTATCAAATTTGAAGACGAATTGTGTGTTTACAAGAAGATAGTGGGAGCATTGTCGTATTCCTAATATTATAGAAAATGACATCCCCATGTTTCAATCGTTGAAATAATGGTTGTTAAAGGATTTATTCATAAACGATATAGGAGAAGCAACTTGATCTATAGAGATAAATCTAGTAGATTGCTTAACTCATCCCAATTTACAAAGATGAAATCTTGAGAAGATTTCATATGGAGAAATTGGTTTACTTTTAAGCGATATGTTGGAAAGGTTCCAAACGTGAAGCAACCGTTGATTTAATAGTAGAAACCTAATACATGATTACTTCAAAAGTAGCAAAGAGTTGCAATGTGGATCATGATGTTCATAAATGAACTTGGAGTAGTTCCTGATATTGTTGATCACATACCTTTATATTGTGATAAAAATAGAGCCATCGCGAAAGCGAAGGAACTAAGGTCTCATCAATGATTTAAACATGTATTAAGGCGGCATAATCTCATCAGAGAGATGATACATGGAAATGACGTAAAGAGAAGAATAAATTCCCATATTTAACAATATTGCAGATCCACTGACAAAGAGTTATCGTAGCATAAACATGATCGTAATGTAGACTCTTATGATATTGGATACATAAGTGATTGGATCTAGTGCAAGTGGGAGTTTGTAAGTCTTATGCCCTAGGTCCAATCAATCTTGGACATAAATACTTTTGATATATAATTAGTGCAATTTAATGGCAGATCTATTATTTAATTAATAGATAATTAAATTAAATAATAGAGTCCGCAGATTTAAATCTTCGTAATTTGTTAATCACAAGGAATTGTGATTATGAGATACAAACTACATATGATTGAATCTTAAATCGTTAGTGGTCGTAAGTAATAACGAGATACGGATATCTTTATTACGGATAGACCATCACGTGTGGCATTTTTTTACTTTTGAAGTAAGTAGCTGATCTCACAAGTTAAGCGTGGTGACACTTAAATGAACACGTGGATATTTTTTTATAGAACAAAACATTGGAGACCCGTCGAGAGATTCCACGTAGACAACTATCTGAGTGTCAGTGGTTAATATCTAACGTTCGGTAGTGGGATTGGTCCTTCTGACTTAAGGTCTTCATACTACCTCATATGAGAACAGTCATGCTTTGACGGTGTTGGATGTTGCTCTACCAAGAGCCGCTAATACGACATTGTTCAGGTGTGTCAAGAATCATATGAAGGTTGTGAATGACCAATAGATGATTCGTCACTCTTAGATAGTAAGAGATTATGATCTGCATTTTATTCAATTAAGTCGATAACGAAATCATTGGTCAAGGTGTACTCATAAGTCGAAAAGGAGTTTTCGACTTATATTGACTTAATAGTGGAGTGAAAGATATGATTGATAATCGAGATTGACACACTTCTATATCTTGTAATTGATCAGATCATATTAATGAAAGAATTATAGTTTCACTACAAACGAACGAGTTTAATTTTGTCATACCACGTGACATTTTCCGTCACATGTATTGCCCTGACACATTGCTAAATGTCAATTTGGGATGGCGAGTGTGATTGGTGATAAATTAAAAGGGTGTTTTAATTTATCAATTTTGATTAGATCAAAATAATATTTCACATCGTTAGATATCGTGATTGAGAACCTGATGGGTCGCAAACAAAAGAAGAACTGAAAGATTGTGATTTGTCAATTAATTAATTAAA